CCCCAAAACCCCAAAACCCCTTAATGCTTAAAATTGTAAAATTTGTGTGTGAGTCAAAATTAATCAGTAATTTGAATATTTGGTTAAGCAGAGGATTCTGCGAGTGATTAATCGGGATATAAAAGGGCAATAAATTAATTTAATTATAATATTATTAGAGAGTACTACTAAGTCAACCTCTATTCTAAAAACTTCTCCCAAGAAAAAGAATATGAAACAACAAGCAGAGCAGCTTAAAGTCATTTACAAAAACGAAACTAAAAAGTTCAGAAAGCCAAATGAGTACGACCTCTTGCACTCACAGACAGTCAAGGCATTTGGTCTCACTCTTCCCAAGAATTTCAAGTTCTTCTATCAGGATTCTGAAGGAGATCTCATTTCTATCAGCTGTCAAGAAGACCTTGACGAAGCCTACGCCAGCATGCAGACTCTCAGACTATTCGTGGAGGCTTCAATCGAGCACGCTCGCCAATCAATTGAACCAGATTTCTCAATGAGATCTTCCCTTAACATGCCACTAATGATGTCATCCCAAGGCATCAACAACTAGTATGATTCCAACACTCAGAGAAATAGAGGAATCAGCAACGACTTCGAAAGTGTACCCTACAACAACGAGTATTCCAGAGTTTCAAGAGACATGTTCTCCCAGTCAGTCGGTATTGGCAATGAGACCCACTCCTAAAATGCAGCCACTGATGTGCAAAACTTGGTTGCATTTTAAACAATTAGCATTAACACCTAATCAGTGAACACTGACGAAAAGTAACTTAATGCTACAGTAGACACTAAAGACATGGCTTCCCAAATCCAAAAAGATGTCAAGGAAGTTTGCTGCGATGGCTCAATTCAAACTGAGTCCAAGGCAAGCTAATTCAAGATGGAGGGCATTGAACAAGAAATTAACTGCCAAATTATTCGACCAGATAGATAAGAAGAATCTATGGAAAATGATGAAGCAATTGTATGCTTCAGATGCGATGGAACTAAGGTCAACAAGAGAGGCCTTCCATGCAGAAGATGCAATGGCTCTGGAACACTTAACAGCAAGTTCTTCAACGACTTGGTTAAAGTCTTGAGAGAGGAAATTCACTCTTACACCACTCAAACCTTCTAAAGATTGATGGTCGACTATCTCGGCAAGAGAGCAGCTGACCAACAAGCTCAAGTGCATCAAGGTATTACCTGTGATGGCTGTGATACTCAGCCAGTTACTGGAATCAGATACAAGTGTAGCGTCTGCCCAGACTTTGACTTCTGTGAGAAGTGCGAAGCTGAGAAACCACACCCTCACCCAATGCTCAAGATCAGAAAAGCCGAACAAGCCCCAGCTTTCATTTCATGCTAGTACTAGTCTATTGATGTGAACATGAATCAAAGTCAATAGCAAGAAAACTTGTCTTCTTCAAATAATATTGCTTCTTCATCTTAATCATCTCAAAAGCCAAAGAGAAAGACTGGTGAGAAAAAGAAGCTTTATCAAGCTAGATTCGTAAAGGAAAGCTTTGGTGATAAGTACAATGTCTCTCCAAATTAGAAATTCAGCAAGTCATGGACTTTCAGAAACAATGGAGAGACTGACTGGCCAGTTGATACCCTCTTCATCCAAACTAATGGTGATGAGCTCCAATCAACTTCCCAAATCGTTAACGGACCAATCAAGCCAGGAATGGAAATTACCGTTTCTGTTGACCTCTAGGCACCAGAGTTACCAGGGAAATACTGTGCTTTCTTCAGATTTGTCTATGGTGACAATCATAGATTCGGCCAAAAGGTCTGGTGTGATATTATGGTTGTCCCCGCTTAGGTTGAAATGATCAAGCCTTCTTCACCAGTAAGCAGGATTTCATAAAACAACTCAAATGAGAGAAACGTTGAGGTTGAGGAGAAATCTAGTTTACTCAGTGACAGTGATAACATGATTAACGAGCAGCCAGTTCAATTTGAAAACCTAGCTGAAAGATACCAAGAAATGTAAAACTAACTAGAAGAGGACAACGAGGCCTCAAATGACAGAGAGCAACTCAAGAAAACAATCAAGAACTTCATGGAAGACTTCGAGGGTGTCCAAAACTTCGGTGAAAAGTCAGAAGAGGAAAAAGCTTCAGAGAGTAACAAAGTTTCTCAGGATCTTAATGTCTCAGAAGTCATTGAGGAACAGGTTCCAGTTGAGGACAAGAAAGAAGAGGAAGTTAAACCTCTCGTCAAATCTGAGTTGAGTCCATAAGAATAGGAAAAACTCTACTACATGCAAGAACTTGAACAAGCTAAAGTTAAGGACGAGTCCTTGAAGCAAAACCTTCTTTACATGCTTGAAGCTGGATTCACCAACTTCAATGTTAATCACTCCCTTCTCACAAGAAACCAAAACGACTTAGCCATTGCTATGAATCTTCTCTGCAACGGCATTGTCTCAGACAGCATGCTCCAGTGAGAGATGCAACAAAATTCTGCAAATAAGCTCTATTTGTAGACAAATACCTGGATTACTTGTATTTATCAGTTACCCAAGGTCTGATTAACTCAAGTTAATCTCAATAACTTTCAAGTTTTAATTTCTAAAATTCAATCTAAATCAGTTTTTTTAATTTATTATTTATGATTTTGGGGTTTTGGGGTTTTGGGGTTTTGGGG